CATTTTTTCCTATCTTAATTCCTTTTATTTTAGGATTACTTCTTTTCATAATTCCCAAAGTTTCAGCACAAATTATAAAAACCTATGGCGACACTGGGTCACCTTGACGACAGACTTTTAATATCTTAAGGAAAGACTCGCTAATACATTAACTACTACACTGGATTCCATGCCATTATAAAATGTTGACACCCACTTTTGAATACTTAGTCCAAATTGAAAGACGTTTAGTGCATTGATGATAAAATTCTATTTACCGTGTCAAAAGCTTTCTCGAAATCTATTAACACCAGTAGACCTGGGATTTGATAACTTTCCGTGTAATCCATTAAATCATATGCAAGTCTGGTCACCTCTCCAAAATACTAGTATAGCCAAGGAACAAATCTCTTCTGGTCCTCATTTATTTTTATAGGAAAGGTGAGGTGGTGAGGTGAAATGGTGTTTAACGTTGCGTCCCAGATTTTTGCACTTATATAGCGACGTGTGTGTGTGTGTGTGTGTGTGTGTTTGTGTGTGTTTGTGTGTGTTTGTGTGGCTGCTTGTACTAGTCCGGACTGATGCCGATTTATAGTGCTAGCTCACCGAGATACCATGCCGCAGTTTAACATGAATACCCCACTCAGACACAGAATACTGACTCCGAGCCGACCAGTCCTTGTTTTAGCCCCTTAATGCCGAGCGCCAGACAGGGTAACAACAAGTACCATCTTTTAACGTCTTTTGATATGACGCGGTCGGGGATCGAACTCCGGGCCTTCCGCTCTCCGTTTATAGGCAAGACAGTTGTAATGCTATTTGCTATCACTGCTGATGCAAGTTTATAAGATGTATTTAACAATGAAATGAGGCGCCAATTTTTAAAGAATTCTTTTGGTTTATATTGTTTTGGTAAGCAAGTAATAAGCCCCTGTTTCTGGATTATAGATGATGAATCATTTCTGTATCCATAATATAGTGAATTTATTAACTGTTTTCCAATGTCATTCCAAAAGAATTTCACGATTTCTGTAGTAAATCCATCTGGTCCTGGGCTTCTTTTCATTTTCTGTGCATTTAGTGCATCTAGGGCTTCTTTGGCAGTTATCTCCCCTTCTAAGTCTAATGACATTTGGTAAGATAGTCTTAGAATATCTCCATCAGAAAAGCTCTTCTAAATTAATTAATTCACAGACTTCCTCGCTATAAAATGTTTGATAGAATTGTTTTGTTTTCATGGTCTGATATTGTTCTTAACCAGTTAGAGGATCTATGATGACATATGACAAAGAAAGGTCAGGCCCGAACACTTTAAAATGATACCGTCACCGTTTGGAAAGTAGAGTGCGGTTTTGCAGTTTTGAAGCCTCAACAAGGAGTGGTGAATCAAAAAGCTGCAAATGGAGTGCCTGGGCGTCCCTAATAGAATCAATAACTACAATATATTTAAATAACATTTCCTCTGATAATGCTTTCTGTTGTAATAAAAAATAACTTTTAATTGCTATTTTTGACTCTACACGGTATTTGTAAAACCGACGGGGTGGGTTTTTTTAAAACAAAAAGATCATTGCATTCCAATTACTGTCGTTCTTAATATCGTATGGTTCAAATTATCCATTATTTAATGCCTAAAAATCTGTTAATGGACAATTCTAACAACCCACCGACATCCACCGAAAGGTCGCATCCGTCGAAGCAGATATAAGTGTGGGCATTCTGTGGAGGGGCTTTTAAAACTCACATACATATTGAACGGATTTGGGCAATTACTACATTTCAACCAATTAGAGTCCTCCCTTTCGTCGCTATGGTATAACGGAAGTAACGGAAATGAGGTAGCCTTGTCGAGTATCGTAGGAAACCATTTGTACTACAGTAAGTTTGAAGTAGGTTAATAGGGGCAGGGGTTCGATCCCCGACCGCGTCATACCAAAAGACGTTAAAAGATGGTACTTGTTGTTACCCTGTCTGGCGCTCGGCATAGAGGGGCTAAAACAAGGACTGGTCGGCTCGGAGTCATTGTACTGTGTCTGAGTGGGATATTCATGTTAAACTGCGGCATGGTATCTCAGTGAGTTAGCACTATAAATCGGCATCAGTCCGGACTAGTACAAGCAGCCACACACACACACATTTGCATGCACGTCGCTATACAAGTGCAATAATCTTGGACGCGACGGTAAACCCTATTTCACCTCAACTAATAGGGGCAGGGGTCATAAACCCTTTTATAAAACCTGGTGGTCGTTGTAGAGAGGGAATCTAAGAATGATAAGTCATTTGCACATGTAGACAAAGTAACGATAAAATATTGATAGTTCAGTAGACATTTCCCAGGAGTGTGCATTCCATTTTCACAGAAACTTTACTGATGAAGAAAGTATCGGGTCGTTGGCTTCCAAAGATTGTGACATTTGATCAAAGACGCACCAAGCAAGTCTTGTGATAATCTACAGCTGTTTGAAGCTGATCCAGAAAGGTTCTTGCAAAGATTTGTGACCGGATGAAACCCTGGTTCACTACTTATAGCCTGAGTCCAAACAACTATCAAAACAGTGGAAACATTTGACATCATTACCAACTGTCCCAACAGTCGAAGATTTTCAGATCTTACCCAGCGTCCAGTCATTCAGATAATAAATTGCATACGCTATGTGGGTTATTAAATCAACCAACATGTCTTGTGTTGTTTTCAGAACAGCATTTTACGCAATCAGTTTGACATATTTCCTCAAGAATAAGAAAATGCTTGATATTTGGAAGTGTTTTATTTCACATAATCAATATGTAATCATATAATGTATTGAACATTACCCCATGTCAAGATGTACAAAATATACTATGCTTTACCAAACGCAGAGATATCAGATACACAGTAAAAAGTGAATAAATAGTATAAAGAGTATACATTCTATTGTATGTACACTAAGCTATAAGTCACTTGCTCCACACTTTGAAAATCATGGACATTTGATCATTGGTTCCTGGCACACCTAAGGGACACAACTCTGCACAGTGAATTGCAGCACCTCATACACCTGTACCACCTGTCCTGTTTGTACAAAAACCTGACTATTCCACTCGTGACTTCTATGATATCCTGTTTACTTGAACCTAAAGCTAGTGGGCACTGTAGAAAATTTAACTCAAGGCAACCTCAGGAATCCAATTTTTTAGACCTTCATTCATTTCATTTATTTCTCTAGTCCTCCGAGATTGAAGCTGCTTGAGGTGGACAGAAATTTTCACTGCTTTTACGTTTCCTGTCAGGTTTATTCAGTTCCAATTTGTAGCAAAAGTGAAGCATTTAAGAACTAGATCAATATTATAGCCTCCAAATGCAACTAGCCGATGAGGACCATCATTGGATAATTACTTGTCCTCAGCACAAAAAGTAGTCTTGGGTTAGCAGACTAGCGTGAATTTGAAGGCTGCAAGGTCGACATTCGAAGTATAGACTCAGGTGTATGTATAAATGTTTCCATATACCAACACTTAACTATAATTTGTAAGTAGTTATAACACAAATACCATAGTAGTATTATAGCAGAAACAAAGTAAATTTCAAGTACTATGGTAAAGAGTGTTTTGTTCCGATTCTTAGGCTGCGAGACAAATATTAAAAATCATTGCCTTGCAATAACTTAACATTGAATTGTCTGTATTTCTAAGCTTTTATAGACTCAGTTACGATACACTGTCATGGCCCCATTCATCAAAGTGATCTCAGCATTAAGATGACCCGAATTACTTATGATGGTCGAATAACTTATGATGGTCGTAGAGAAAAGAGCATCTTGTGAAACTGGCGATCAACTATGTCAACTATACACAAGCTGCTAAAACTTCCCACTGGAACACTACCGACAAGAAAGACAATGTAGTTGAAGATGTGTGTTTGTACACAATGTATTCGCATGACGCACGTCCCAGCAGATTCTGAATAAAATAATTCCTGCCGCATAAACCATTTTACATAACATGCACTGTTTGTACATTTTGCCCTTATAATCAATCTCACATTAAGAGGTCTAGGGCAATTATTCTTGTGTTAGAGAGATGTACATTTTTATTTCATTACTTTATTGCTCGAGAAATATTTTGATGTGCTGTAACAGTGCACGACAGACCTTAAGAATGCTATTTTTCAAGAATAAGAACATATTGTTTAAGGTTTGCGTAATGAAATAAACAAAATTAGAGTTTCCATGTGTTATTCGTGTCCTACACACAAACAACTTGCCCATTAGGAACAAATAATTTCAAGCTAAAGAATATGAGGATTTGTCTGTAGTTCCTTCTGTAATTCAACAATAAACAATGATTACATCAATCACCAATAAAAATACCTTTACCCTGAGTGTGGATATGACAAAACGCATTGTCATACCTCCATGATGAGATGTGATTGTTCCGCGTGATCTTGATAAAATACTGTGAAACCCGCCTTGGAGGGTAATAAATGTCTTCGAGGGGGGAATAAATCTCTGGTACCCCGCCACGGAGTTATATGCATCCCTTGGTAGGATTAATACCACTCGCCTCCGGCTCATGGTATAAAACCTAGCGCGGGACCCATAAATCCCCATCGTGGTCAATCTTCCCGAGGCAAGAGAGTTAACTGATTATAAAAGTCCAGTTTCCACCCTTGTCGAACTGGGCTGTATTATGGAGTTACATTTTGGCTGGACTAACAAGTTTATACATTGTCCAATCAAAATCGCACAACTAAATCGAAATACGGTTCGTAAACTGTCGTGCAGATTTCGGTCGATTGCAGGAATTGCAAAGCATGTGCACCGCCAACTCGTTGTCAACAGATATTTTCCAAACCTTTTCATGTTTTAATCAAGTAGCTCATGTGATGTGATGTACTTCGCGATGTAAGAGCCGTTTTATCACAGTATAGATCTTGATTATCGATCAGATCGTCTTGATTGGGTGCCGCCATTTTGTACGAAACAAATGCAAGTTATACTTGAGGTGGAATCTGATTGGTCCATAGGAGAGGCTTAGAAGGGACATAACTCGCAATAGCGACTGGTGGCGCTACGATCGAGCCCAGGAATTCCAGCCTTGTTCGGCAAGGGTGGAAACTGGACTTTTAAAGACAGTTAACTCTCTTGCCTTGGGAAGATGCTCGTAATCCTGCTACAACATTTATGGTGAGGTAAGACGAATCCTACAGTACATCATACTGTGAATGTATAAGTAGACCCACAACCCAAGTGATGACAATATCAGTTGGATGACAATATCATATTTTAATGTACTACATGAAGACACCCCATCACTTTTGTGCATCGATGGTATAAAATGATTATAAGTGAGAGCAAAACACTGTAAAAATACAGGTTCCTCTGCTTTTAACGAAGGCACTTAGAGACACATGTGACCTCTTCATATATGGGAGAGAGTGAGTTGATAAACAGACTGTTTTCAATGTAGATCTAGGTCACATGTAGCTTTCACCATCCTGAACAGAATTTGAAACCAAACACACAGCTATATTTCTTTGTAACTCATGATTATACAGAACAGTATTTCAAAATGCCAACTGACAATTATTGAGACAAAAGACTTTTCCATACAATACCTAAAGCTAACACAGTGACATTAAATCAGCTTTTTTAATCAGAAGTGGTTATTGTGATTTGAAACCTCTGACAATCAGAAAAGAATTTTCAAAAATCACGGTAGAATGAAGTTTAACACTACTCTGAACACCATTTCTATAGAGCATTTCAGGTTAATCTTTTATTGGAATGGTAACATAAACCAAACCTCAACTGACTGAAACCAATAAAATCCCTCTTTTCTCCACTGTTTGGTATTTTCTTCGTTTAAGGTAGTGAAAATTTTGAGATTTTGTATTCACCTTCCTGCTCATCTTGTGAATTTCAATTAGTTTGGATTGCATGTGTCTCATTGACATGCTGTCTTCTTTAAAGAATTAATAAGTTAGATCCTGTCATTTCACAATAAGATAAATGTCAATTCGAGAATAATGATAATGGATTGGCAAGCTCTTACATAAATTGGATGGAATACAAGTTGTATTATTTCATGATTGTCAAACTATAGACAACACAGAGACAGTATGCCTCTACACAAACCATTTGATATCCGCTGTGGGAGGGGAGGGATTTATATTTGGAAAAACAAATCTGTTCCCGAAATCCAGTAAAATAGCAATTTGTCCTAAAGTTTTACGAAAAAACCCACAAATTTCACAGGTCATGCTGGTTATTCTGAAAAATAATGTGTTTTGAGCAAAAAAACTGTTGGCTCTTCCTTTCAGAAAAATATGTCCTGCAGTGCTGACTGACAGAGTATTGTGTGTCAACAAAACTCTCAGGATATGACATGGTTGCTCCCAAAAGGATTTGTCGACACACCATTCCTTGTATGGTCTAAGAAGTGTAACTAGTATGTGAGATGGCTGCACCCCGCTGTCATCCGCCATGTGCTGGGTTCCATGCTGCCAGCAGTGTTTCCCTCACAGAGCCTACACTCAGTGGGGCCAGGTACACAGCACTGGTGCAGATGGGGGTGGCGTGATGCACTTGTTCAGTTTTTCACATCCAGGGGGGGACCAGTTCTGAAATCATAAGATACCCATTATTATTAAGTTTAGGTGACACTTTCTGTATTTTTTTTATTTAGAGATTCAGTTGCCAAGAACCAAAAGCCACTGTCTGAAACATAAATGTAAATATATGAAAACTTATTCTTCATTTTCAGGTCACTAAAAATTTGGTGAAAAGATCTTCTCAGACAGGAGTACAAAATGTGTGTGTGTGTGTGCGTGCGCGATGTGTGTTAGTATGTGTGTGTGTGTGTGCGTGCGTGCATGGTGTGGAGTGTGTGTTAGTATGTGTGGAGTGGTGTGTGTGTGGGTGGTGCTGTGTGTAGTGTGTGTGGCATGTGTTTGTGTTAGTGTGTGAGTGTGTGTGTGTCTGTGTGTGTGTGTGTGTGTGTGTCTGTGTGTGTGTTACAAGTATACAAGCAAGTGTGTCATACTAATTTTACAAAACAAGTGTCAGAATTCCTGTATTTCCCGAGGAAGAGCAGGGATAATACATGAATTCTTACACGAGTTTCATAAATCAGTTTGTCACAAATGCAGGAATAATAATTTCTTTAGTACCCATTTTATTTCTGAATCCTTTTGAGCTCCCCTTCAGAAAAATGCACTGATCATGACTGCTGCCTTAGAAAGACACAATGATGTCAACGATCTTCAGAGAAAACCAGAGTAAAATCTTTACGTAAACCTAAGATTGAAATGACAGCAACAATGTCATCCGGACTACATAAATGATACACTTCTTACAACTTTTATGAACTCAGTTATTTCTAACTCTATGGATTTGATAATAAATACATCTTACTATCGGAATAGTCCTAAACAACTTTTGGCAGAATATAACGTAATTCTGTCAGTACATTGCAGTACAGTTATTATGGTCAAGTGTGTTCATCATGAAGGGATGCAACTGACATCAATTTCAGCAACAATACAGTAACAGAGTGTCCCAGTGGGGACATGACGGCCTTGTGAGTCTTGGGAATCAAAGCCAGATCTCATGTGTGTTGAGGCTGCATATTTTGTACTGGGCCAGATCAAGTATTTCAAAATGAAATATTATTTCAAGACAGAGAGCAACATCTCACCATGACGGCCTTGTCACACCAGTTCAGCTGTGGTTTTCCCGGCATGAGAGCTGCTTGGTGCTTACTGATCTCTTGCATGATGCCTGGCATCACTGACTTGTACTCAGCTGAGGCAGGTCTGAAGGAACAATTCAACATTACAGGTGCTAAGTCTGGAGAAACAATTGAACCTGAAAGGATTTGGGTCTGTAGTAACAAATCAACATGAGAGGCTTTGGGTCTGGAGGAACAATTCAACATGACAGGTGCTAAGTCTGGAAGAACAATTCAACATTACAGGCTTTGGGTCTGGAGGAACAATTCAAGAATACAGGCTTCAGGTCTGCAGGAACAATTCAACCTGACAGGCTTTAAGTCTGGAGGAACAATTCAACAATACAGGCTTTAGGTCTGGAGGAACAATTCAACAATACAGGCTTTGGGTCTGAAGGAACAATTCAGCATGACAGGTTTTGGGTCTGCAGGAACAATTCCAGATGAGAAGCTTTGGGTCTGGAGGAACAATTCAACATGACAGGCTTTGGGTCCGCAGGATCAATTCAACATGACAGGCTTTGGGTCTGAAGGAACAGTTCAACAAGACAGGTTTTGGGTCTGCAGGAACAATTCAACATGACAGGCTTTGGGTCTGAAGGAACAATTCAACATGACAGGTTTTGGGTCCGCAGGAACAATTCAACATGAGAGGTTTTGGGTCTGCAGGAACAATTCAACCTGTCAGGCTTTGGGTCTGGAGGAACAATTCAACAATACAGGCTTCAGGTCTGCAGGAACAATTCAACATTACAGGCTTTAAGTCTGGAGGAACAATTCAACATGACAGGCTTTGGGTCTGCAGGATCAATTCAACATGACAGGCTTTGGGTCTGAAGGAAAATTCAACAATACAGGCTTCAGGTCTGCAGGAAAAATTCAACATGACAGGTGCTAAGTCTGGAGGAACAATTCAACATGACAGGCTTCAGGTCTGGAAACAGTTCAACCTGACAGGCTTTAGGTCTGGAGGAGTGAGTGAGTGAGTGAGTTAAACACCGCTTTTTGCAATATTCCCACCAGGTCTGGAGGAACATTTCAACATGAGAGGCTTTAGGTCTGGAGGAACAATTCAACATGAGAGGCTTTGAATCTGGAGGAACATTTCAACATAACAGGTGCTAAGTATGGAGGAACAAGTGAACCTTACAGGCTTTAGGTCTAGAGGAACAATTCAACATGACAGGCTTTGGGTCTGCAGGAACAATTCAACGTGCCAGGCTTTGGGGCTGATGGAACAATTCAACGTGACAGGTGCTAAGTCTGAATGAAACAGTTAAACAGTTAAACTTGGTCATGCATACGCTGAAGTTGACTTAAGTTATATGTTTATTCAACCATATAAAAAGTCAGAAGGAATGGGTGCATAGTCAGAAAGAAATGCGAACATTAGTGACTTCTAGTGTAATCTAGAGTTCTAGTTATTCCAGCTATATGACGGCGGTCTGTAAATAATCGAGTCTGGACCAGACAATCCAGTGATTAATTTCATGAGTATCGATCCACACAATTGGGATTGATGACATGCATCAACGAAGTCAGCGAGCCTGACCACCCGATCCCGTTAGTCGCCTTTTACGACAAGCATAGTCGCCTTTTACGGCAAGCATGGGTTGCTGAAGATCTATTCTACCCCGGATCTTCACAGGTCTCTAGAGTTCTAGATAATTTTTGTCATTAATCTATATATCACATGACTAACGATAGGTCTGGGAAGTCCTGTGTGTACCCGGGTCCTACTCAGTAACCACCCGTCCCGGGTACCTGAGTTACCTGTCTCAGCCCTACTGGAGGGACAATTCAACCTGACAGGCTTTGCATAAGGATAGAGAGAGGGGGAGATGAAGTAAGCAAGGCAGGGGAAGTGGGAGATGTGGAAGGAGTAGCAGGAAGAGGGGGAAGCCTTGAAAGACAGGGTTATCTAGTCACTTTCTAGACCTACTTGATCAAGTACTTCTCGCCTGGATCTCGTCCCAGATGAAACAGAAGTGGCTGACTGGAGTGGTTGGTCTGATCGTGAGTGGTCACGTTGGCTATTATCTCGCCAGGACAGAAGTCGGTGCCCTGAAGATATCATGAGTGAGTGAGTGAGTGAGTGAGTTGGAATTAACGCCGCTTTTAACAGTTTTCCAGTTATATCACAGTGTGTCAGCTTATTGTGGGAGGAAAGCCCGAAGTGATGCAGGTCTCAGACGTTTACCACTTCGGTGAAACCCACGAGCACGGGTATGGTGCTGACAAACCTAGAACATAATCAGGGCTAACCGGGATTTGAACCCACAATCATAGGTTTCTGGCATTCCCAAGGGACGCAACTCTGCACAGCGAATCGCGGCGCCTTAGACGATTTGGCCACCCATGCCCCCCTGAAGATATCATGAAAATATATGCGCAGCAAGGTCAGATGCAAGTGGCAGTGAATTGGGTTTAATGTTAGACAGCACACATAGAGTTAACACCGTCAAATACTCTTTCACTTTGATGGACGAAGCAGTAGATAAACCACAGTCGGGATAGCCATTATTGTTCTGGCACAAATTAAGGTGACTAAAATCGTCTTTCGGACATCTTTCACACGTAGAATCCCATATAAATGTCCAAAAACATGTTATTGAAAACTTACTTTATTGAACTCTTCTATGCTGGGATAGCCATCATTGTTCTGGCACAAATTAAGGTGACTAAAATCGTCTTTCGGACATCTTTCACACTTAGAATCCCATAAAAATGTCCAAAAACATGTTATTGAAAACTTACTTTATTGAACTCTTCTATGCTGGGATAGCCATCAATGTTCTGGCACAAATTAAGGTGACTAAAATCGTCTTTCGGACATCTTTCACACTTAGAATCCCATATAAATGTCCAAAAACATGTTATTGAAAACTTTTACAAACCTGTAGAGGTTATGAATTCTCTGATGAAATCCTCCTTGGGGCACTTATTGCATTTTCCTTGCTCAAGAAAATCTATATGACATAGTTGTAACCATTTTCCTTAATAAAAAATGTTACCACACAAAAAACTTCGTTTTTGTATGATATACGACCACCCTTACGGGGCCTCACCCCCAACGGCGCCTCACGCCAGGGGGAGCAACTCTCACCCAAATCACTTTCCATATGTCAAATGCTGACGGAATGTGGGGAGGTGGGTGGCCGTGCCCCAAGGAGGATTTCATCAGAGAATTCATAACCTCTACAGGTTTGTAAAATTCTCTTTCTGATTAAATCCTCCTTGGGGCACTTATTGCATCAAGACAGACTCCCAAAGATAATCTAGGAAGTGGCATCCGTCAGCAACAGGCGTAAATAAATACATCGTATTTGATTATTCAACAGAATAAAATATTGAGTTCAATAAATGGAACCAACCTTATCGTGAGGCACCACCGTCGAAAGGCGGGGGCTAGAGACAGGGCGTGGTCGACAATATATTATGATAAAGCCTGTTTTTGCGGCTTGTCATAAGTTGAGAACTCGAAACACCTCCCACCCCCCCACACTTTTTTAAACAAGTGATATAAGGGCGTAGATCACAAGAGACCATAACCAGCGCTGAGCTAGGCCAGAGGGTCCCCGAGGATCGAAGGAGTGCGTGCGCAAAATACGAGTATTATCGAGTAGTAAGGACTGATATTTATCGACCGCAGAAGATAAAATCCGGACCATTACTGAGCAGTATAACCGGAAGACTGTCTAAAATCTCGAATGCTCAATCAGCTAGAGATTAGAACTTTGCCCAGTTCGGAGAACTGACTGACCAAACCGAGTACGCTCGCTTGAGTGTTTGTCGAGTTGGTAAGGTTTGATGAATCGTGCTCGGCTGGCTCCAAATAGCCGCGGAGCAGATCTGCTCAATGGGCAGAGCCGCGGCGTACGCTTTTGACGCAGCCACTGCTCTAACCTAATGAGCCTACAACCTGGTAGGGGGGTCCCTGCCTGTAAGCGTATACGCTGTACAAATGTTTGAAACTATCCACCTCGAGATAGATTGTTTACTCGCAGGTGAGCCAACCTTCCTACCGCAGTAACAGCAAAATAGTTGGTTATCCTTACGGACACCCATATTTCTGCTGATATAGGCCTTGAGAGTCGTGCGGACATCCAAGACATGAGCATGTCTTGCAGTGGTCCCCGACGAGGAAGGCTGTGAAAGAGCGGGTAGCTCAATAGGAGCCGTTCACGTGGAATCGTGTGCGACCCTAGGACGGTAATAGTCCGGTAGACGAAAACTGACTGTCCCGGTGATATTTATCGACCCCATGGAAGACAGTTATTTTGGGATCGGCTGACATAACACGAATGTCGCCTACCCGTCTGCCGGACGTTACCACCACAAGGAACGCCGTCTCCCAGCTCAACAGCTGAAGAGAGAGAGACGACAGATCCCGAAAGGAAGGACCGGACAGCCAATCTAGAATGATTGACAAGTCCCAAGGGGGACTGATCCGCCGGACTGGCGGTCGGATCCTGTCCACACCTGCTAAAAAGCGCTGCACTAATGGGTGTGCACCCAGAAGTGCCCCGTCGACAGGGACGTGAAAAGCTGCGATAGCTGTAGAGTACCCTCGGACTGTTGATGCGGCCAGGCCGTCATCTAGTCGCGACTGGAGAAACTCAAGCACGGATACGAGATCTGCAGAAAAAAGATCTGCAATCCCTCTATCGACACACCTGGGCGCATAGCAGGCCTATCTATCGTACTGAACGTTTGTCGAATCCCTCCGCGAAGCCAGTATTGTGTCTGCAACTCGTGCAGGAATACCGCTCTTCTGGAGGCGATTCCTGACAGTGGCCAAGCCACCCATTGAATCCTGAGATTCGGGTGGAGGGCCCCGTTCTGGGATAGGAGGTCCGGTCGTAAAGGTAATATAACAGGAGGCTGAGCCAGAAACCTGAGTATTACTGGAAACCCACTCTGCGCCGACTAAAGAGGTGCCAGGAGCACAATTAGTCGCGCAGGCTGAGTGCCTAGCTGAGACAGGACCTTGGAAATCAGAGGTACTGGGGAGAATGCCCACAGAACTGTCCGTCCAATCTAGCTGAAAGGCGTCCGGTGCCACCGACCTCGGGTCGTGGACTCGGGAGCAGAACGTTGGTGTCTGGTTATTTAACCCAGACGCAAACAGATCCACCTGTAACGACCTGTATAACAGGGAGAAAATCCCGAATATCCCCGGGTCGAGCCTCCACTCGTGAGGAGCGAGGATCCGGCAAGACAGAGCGTCCGCACGGACGTTGTCCACCCCCGGGAGATAAGCAGGTAGCACCCTGATATCGTGAGAGTCGCACTATAGTAGGAACTGCCACGTCTTTCGTCGAAGCGACGGAGACGCCGTTCCCCCCTGCTTCCGGATGTAAGTCATCGCCGTTTGGTTGTCCATTTCTAGACGAACCACTTGGCCACGAAGCAGATCCGGGAAGCGTTGGAACACCAACCTGACCGCTCTCAGTTCTAGCACATTGATATGCAGTTTGATCTCCTGCTGGGACCATAGTCCCGAGGCAGTGTGATCATTCAGAACGCCTCCCCAGCCGGAGAGTGACGCGTCTGTTTGAACTGTGAGAGACGGAACGGGAGTGATTCCCGACCTCGGTCCACCACTGGAGGTGTGTAATGAGCCACTACGGAGTCTCGAGCACAGTCTCGAGATCTTCCGAGTTCGCCCAAAGTCGACGGAGTGCTTGTTGAATGGGACTCATTCTCAAGCGCGCCCGCCAGACCAAATCCACTGTCGCCGCCATGTTGTCCAGTAACTGGAGCCATGTACGAGCAGTGTGACTTGCGCTTAAGGGACTTGATATCTTGTGACAGAGATACACGTCCTCTCACCGTGTTCGGGGCCGTGGAGATCCCGAATGGTAGAACCCTGAACTGATAACACCTCCCGTCGAAAGAAAACCTCAGGTATTTCTTGAACTCTGGATGTATTGGTATGTGGAGATAGGCGTATTTTAAGTCTATTGACGTTAGCCATTCTCCTGTCTCGACAGTTGAGATCACTGTTTGGTGACTAGGAAACAAGTCGAGTAGAAGCCCTCGCTTTCCTGTCCCTCGGGACCCGGTTCGATCGCAGCTTTCATAAGAAGTGCGTCGACCTCGGCACGGAGGAATTCCGCCTTCTCTCGGGTAGCAGGCACCGGTGTGTGCTTTATCCCGGAAAAGTGGAGGAGCGGATGAGTTTTCCCGATAACTTGCGACTATGGGTTCACCCGGGGCTCTTCGGGCGCTAATGGGAACCCATCGTTCCCAGCCCCGCGAAAAAGCTCTTGGCCTCGACCAGCTGCCTTGCCCCGGCCCGTGCCTCTCTTGCTCCTCACGGCGCCCTTATACCTGAAGGAAGCGGCGGCTTCCAAGCAGGTGTGGACGTCTGACCCGTGCGTTAGCGTAGGAGGGGACAATTGGAGAGGCCCGCTTACGCGGTTTTAACGCTTGGTACCTCCAACAAGGCCTTATGAGTCTTTGATGGAAGTATACAATTGAGCAGCCTCTCGGACCGCCTGCTGAGCCCCAGGGAAGAGGGTGGCACCCTCTTATACGGCAAAGCAAGTAGGTCTTGGCGTGTGTAAGTCGAGTATTTAGATACCGACATCCACCGCCTGCGCATGCACATAACAGCGCACATCATCTGCGATGCACAGCTACGAATAGCGTCCCGCGCAAGATAATGTTAGTTGCGCGGCCAACTCCGAAGAGTCGGCCGGCCCCTCTCCCGCTAACTCCCTCTGTACAGCCGACAGATACGCGGAGTGTACGGACACACGGAGCTGTTGGCATGCATTATGATATTGCTCCTCGAAGCATATGTAAGCAGCCTTCAACTCCGCACCGCACACGGGAAAGGGGGGGCAACCGCCGGCCCTGCTTGACCTTAGTCAAGTTGGGTGTCTCCGACTCTGGCATGGGCGCAGCAACCTGAGGCAGTACATGGACAATCCTGTCCCGCACGTGTCTCTGCACCCGGCCCGAGGCCGAGTCCCGGTGCCGAGGTGCCGGAGGTTCAAGGGAACCCACCTGGCACTGGGCTAGGTATCCACTAGTGAAAGCCTTGGCCTCGGAAGAGGCGTCTGGCTCCGCTAGGGTAAATTGTGCGTCGGTAGTGCACGGGCCGGTGCCCGCCACCACTACGCTGGGGAGCGACCTCGAGCCGGAGCCGAAGCTCGGTCTCGGATCGTCCCCGAGACAAAGGGAACCAACCTGGCTCCGGGCTAGGTATCCACTAGTGGACGCCTCGGCCTCGGAAGAGGCGTCTGGCTCCGCTAGGGAAAATTGTGCGTCGGTAGTGCACGGGCCGGTGCCCGCCACCACTACGCTGGGGAGCTCGGTCTCGGATCGTCCCCGAGACCAAGGGAACCCCCCTGGCTCCGGGCTACGAATCCACTAGTGAAAGCCTCGGCCTCGGAAGAGGCGTCTGGCTCCGCTAGGGAAAAATTGTGCGTCGGTAGTGCACGGACCGGCGCCCGCCACCCCTCCGCTGGGGAGCGACCTCGAGCCGGCGCCGAAGCCCGGTCTGAGATCGTCCCCGAGACCAAGTTGCCTGCCTCGGCCGACGCCGGGCATATCACAAGGTCTCGAAGCCGCGTCCGGCGCCGACAACGGGGAAGGCTGGGTCCGCATCTCCTCTCGGAGCTGAGACTTTACCTCCTCCATCATCGACGCCATCTGCGACTTAAGTAACGCAGAAAAGTCTGCCAAAGACAGTGCAGGAGAGGGTGCAGTGCTTACTACGGGGACCCTCGAGCCTTCTCCCCCGGCCCCCGGAGAGGGAGCGGGGGAGACAATCTCGGCAGCTTTTTTACCCTTTTTAGATGGGGAGGGGGGGATGTCTTAGTAGATCTGATATCTACCCCCGCCTTTAATAGACCTCTTTAAAGTGGAACAAGTCAACTTGTCTCTTTTGGGGGCCCCGGGGGGTAAAGGCAATGTCCTCCGCCAGACATATTCGGCAGCGTTCGTGCCTGTCTTAGAACAACCCGTACACAGTTTGAAGGTCTTGTAAACAAGACCGTAATTTCTGAGGTGGGCGGGAAGGGTATCAACGTGTATCAGTGCGATATAAAGATCGGAAAGAAACGTGCATAAATTGTGAAACTAGAAGCAAAGGCGTAATGTAGAATGCGATTTGTAACGCGATACTAATAGCAAATGTGTAGTATAATTATAACACCAAAGGGGCGTGTTACGCGCTAAGGTGTAAAAACCCGTAAAAAAGGTAAGTGTAGTTTATGAATTAACACACCACCTTGGGTTTTGTAAAGGAAAAAATTGTAGACCAATGCTGTATGATATAACAAAACCCCAAGCCGTTTCTTAATGGCCTTGGTGTTACATGTATCAGCCCGTGGAACTACAATATGGACGCCATTACGGCCATTTGAATTCAAAGGTACCGTGCACGTGGCGTATTATTACAACTCTATAACTTCACAATGCGAGGTATTACGCCTTTGCAAAGAAAGAAATGTACCATACATACAGTTTGGTCAGCCATGGTTCTTGTCGAACGATAGATTTCTCTTATTTTTGTCTTGTGTGAAAAATCAACACGTCTGTCTCTTACAGATGACATAAGGAAAGTGATTTGGGTGAGAGTTGCTCCCCCTGGCGTGAGGCGCCGTTGGGGGTGAGGCCCCGTAAGGGTGGTCGTATATCATACAAAAACGAAGTTTTTTGTGTGGTAACATTTTTTATTAAGGAAAATGGTTACAACTATGTCATATAGATTTTCTTGAGCAAGGAAAATGCAATAAGTGCCCCAAGGAGGATTTAATCAGAAAGAGAATTACTTTATTGAACTCTTCTATGCTGGGATAGCCATCATTGTTCTGGCACAAATTAAGGTGACTAAAATCGTCTTTCGGACATCTTTCACACTTAGAATCCCATATAAATGCCAAAAACATGTTATTGAAAACTTACTTTATTGAACTCTTCTATGCTGTTGGTCCAAGTCCACCTGTGTGCCTTGTACTGACCCACCCTGACAGCCATCAGCTCATCCCCACGGTAATAGAAGATGGTCCTGTGGACAAACCAGAAGTGAGTTAGTGAGTGAGTGAAGCCATGAGCAGGGAAATGGTGCTCACAAATCAAGAAACAGAATCAGGGCAAATTTGGGATTCAAGCCCATGATCACCAGATCCTGGCTAAACTAAGGGACACAACTCTGCACAGTGAATTGCAGTGTAAGTCAGACCCATGTGCTGTTTACAAAGTCAGACCTTGGTCTATTAATCTATCTACATGTTGAATGACTAGATACCACATATACTTGTTGACTATCTTGTTATACCTGTATGATCTGCAGATTCTGATACTACTAAGGGACACAACTCTGTACAGTGAATTGCAGTGTAAGTCAGACATTGTCCTTTAAACATATCTACTTGTGGCTGGACCTGTTTCCTAATACTTGTTGACCATCTTGTTCCCATATAGTCCTGTTGATGGACTTAATGAATCTTTTTCGCATCTACCATTGATTGGCTTATTATGATGTCAGTATGTTGACAAACTTGGTAACATATCTACCCATTTAAACGTTATTTTCTCATTTACTTATTGACCAACTTATCATATATACTTGATAAAAGAGTTGTTAACACAATCCTAAACATATCTACCACATCTACCTGTTGACTGCCTTGTTTTCAGTTCTACCTGTAAAATGGCTTGATGTCATACTTAACTGTTGATTGTTATCAAATATCAATGAACAAAATACACTTATATTACATCTACCTGCTAACCCAGGTATTGTGACATATTTGTGTTTGGTGACTTTATCTGCCTGGAGACAAGGCTGTTATTACATCTACCTGCTAACCCAGGTATTGTGACATATCTGTGTTTGGTGACTTTATCTGCCTGGAGACAAGGCTGTTATTACATCTACCCGCTAACCCAGGTATTGGGACATATGTGTGTTTGGTGACTTTATCTGCCTGGAGACAAGGCTATTATTACATCTACCTGTTAACCCAGGTATTGTGACATATCTGTGTTTGGTGACTTTATCTGCCTGGAGACAAGGCTATTATTACATCTACCTGTTAACCCAGGTATTGTGACATATTTGTGTTTGGTGACTTTATCTGCCTGGAGACAAGGCTATTATTACATCTACCTGTTGATGGGCTTGTTATCAAACAGTGTCTGTTTGAGACTGATGCCATCGATGATACGGTCGCTGGGTGGGGTCAGGCCTGCCAGCTCCACCAGGGTGGTGAACAGATCCATGAGGGAGCCTAGCTGATGTGACACCTGGTAGGGGGGGGGGGGGGGGTCATCAATGTTACTTATTTTAAACATACAAACATTGGGTGATGCTTTTTCATAAGGATGACACTAGAACATTAATACATGAAAGATAATTTCTGAAATAATGTTAAATTAAAAATAAGGGAATAAAGCAATATTCAGAGACCTTAAAAAACTACATAATACTTTATATCTTATTCTTAAACACTTAAAGAGACAAATTTATTAACAGGAAATATAAGAAGTTATGAGCAAACGGGTTAAAACGCCAGAGAAATTAAAGACGACTGGTAAACTACAAAATGCAAAAGAAAGTCATGCTTGAGTGAGAAGGGTTAAGCATTAGTACCGATCCAGGGGCAATCTTTCCCGGCCACATGGCGATAGTTGGCTCCCTCATTCCCCCTTCAAATGTTGTCTCCTTCCCACACAGGAATGGACCATTGTTACCCCCTGCGTACATACAAGTGACAAACATGAAGGGCATGTGACAGATCACCAATCAGAGTGTGGGTAGATGGTGTAGATGAAAGGTTGGTGTGTTACAGGGAAGGTCACCAGTCAGAGTGTTGGTAGATGGGGAATATGAAAGGTGGGTGTGTTACAAGGTCACCAATCAGAGTGTGGGTAGATGGGGAAGATGAAAAGTGGTGTGTTACAGGGAAGGTCACCAATCAGAGTATGGGTAGATGGGGAAGATGAAAAGTGGTGTGTTACAGGGAAGGTCACCAATCAGAGAGTGGGTAGAAGTGGTAGATGAAAGGTTGGTGTGTGTCTTCTTGTTCTTGTTTTACATGATTTGAAACAATATTCTTGACAAGCTTGTGGGTGTTTAGACAGATGAGGCTAGGTGCAGATGTGGTCATACTGGAACCAAGTGACAGGAGAAGTCTAACTGAAGCTCACATGTCTACCTAGTGCGAGTGAAAGAATAAAAAGAGACCAACAGGTCTGAAATGTTCAAGAAGTCCAGAGTTTGTTGTGCACCTTTCCAGGTTTGATTCTGCCTGGCCACCAGGCAATGGTGGGCTCTCTCATGCCACCCTCAAATGTTGTCTGCTTACCACACAGGAAGGGGCCATTACTGCCACCTGGTGGCAGTGACACATGTGATATATTCAAAATTGAATGTTAGACTCAAAAAAATAATAGGCTTGGTTCTCAGGCACCGCCCACATCATCATTAAGTCCATTGCACATGTTTTTTTGGTCCATTGTGGATTTTATATTATTTTGAAAATGGAAAAAAAAACAAATGTGCGGCAGACTTTATGATGATGCAGGTGGTGCCTGAGAACCAAGACTATTATTTTTTTAGCCTTATTGAAATACAATTCACAATAGAAGCCCCACATATTATCACTTCTACAAAACAAATTTCAGAAATATCATGACATTACAATTCAGTGAGTCAGTGAATGAGTTGGGATTAATAACGCTTTTAACAATTCCAGTCATATCTCAGCATTACAGCTTAACGTTTATCATATTTGGTGAAACGCACAGGCACGGGTATGGTGCTGACACTGGGGTCAACAAACCCATGATCATAGGCTTCTGGCATGCTCAAGGGAAGCAACTCTACACAGTGCCCCCATTATAGGTTACGTCAGAACGACCTATCGCCAACTATGACTGACCAAAGAAATGACAAGTCTGGAATGTCCAATAGATAGCGAGATTGTATAGCAGTCCTTCCAACTGGCTTTGGAAAGTTTGTTCCGTTTCAAATGTTTATCCCATTGAAGCAAGAGATAGACAATGATTTTGTCAGAATAAGTCAGAATACCCATTCAGAATACCCTTTGTTGCAAGATTAGTAAACACACTCCAACTGTCGCTTTCCAGATCTGGTAAGCGACGGTCATTCTGAAGTGACCCGGAATAGCATGTCTTCTGATCTTTGTTTAGCGGTAGCAAAAGTTAAGATCCAATTTTAATGAGATTGCAGTTCTGCAAGCTGCTGCAGACTTACCCTGTGTCTTGGCATACGTGGCACCGCCATTGTCCGAGGAGAAGACAGCCAGTGTGTTGGTGTCGATGTTCAGCTGTTTCAGTTTGTTCAGAATGACCCCCACACCAAAGTCCAGCTCCCTCACAGCATCCCCATACCTGGGGAAAAATAAAATCACTGTTGTGTAACAATTATAGATTTCAGATTAGTTTTTAAGTGTTCAAAGCCCGGGAATTGTAACATTTACAAGTTTCGTGGCTATGAATACTCAATAACACCTGCAAATCTGAAAACAAATAGAGATCCTCACTCTCGTGTCTTTAGAAATGAAATATCTTAGCACAAGGCGAGAAAAGCTTAGTAAGTCCTACACTTTTATTGAGGAGTATTGATTTTTAGTCGAATTTCGTTGTGTCAAACTAGTGGGGACCTGGAAAGTTTGAGTTATCCAGGGTCTGGACAAACAAGAAAGTGAATTTTTGAAAACCAAACATGTTGATGAGAGATTCTTACCAAGTCCAAGATTTCAAGACGTGCGTAAATTTCAGTGCCCAGGCTGCTGGTAGTGAAGGTGAGGTGAGGTGAAATTGGGTTTAACGTCGCGTCCAAGATTATTGCACTTATATAGCGACTTGCATGCACCTGTGTGTGTGGCTGCTTGTACTAGTCCGGACTGATGCCGATTTATAGTGCTAGCACACTGAGATACCATGCCGCAGTTTAACATGAACACCCCACTCAGACACAGTATACGGACTCAGAGGCGACCAGTCCCTGCTTTAGCCCCTTAATGCCGAGCGCCTGACAGGGTAACAACAAGTACCATCTTTTAACGTCTTTTGGCATGACGCGGCCGGGGATCGAACCCCGGACCTTCCGCTCTCCGGGCGGACGCTCTACCACTTGATCACGGAGGCGGTCTTGGTAGTGAAGGGGGCAGCACCTCAGATGTATCACTGCCATCTGGATTAGCATCACAGTTTAAGTCATATCTTGCAAAATAGATTCACTAACATAATCTTAATCCGTTTTACACTTTTCTCAATTTTCACGTGGTTTCGGCTGTCACGTGAGAACCTTCCTGCCGATGTGTGTACATGCAGTAATCAGCTTGCACCATCGTAAGGTGTGCTTGTTAATTAGGGTTGATTGGCATGTGTGTGTGTGTGGTCTGAAACAAATTCCTAATGACAATTTGTCCACTCCCCTTGCAACACCTTATCTGGTCGGCTGACCGAGAGCCTGGCCTTTCACGTCGCCATACACTTCTCCAGACCATGTCCCAAACGTGCTGTGTGGGAGAATGAGTGAGTGAGTGAGTGAATTGGATTTAACGCCTCTTTTAACAGGTTTCCAATCATATCGCGGTATGTCAGCTTAATATGGGAGGAAAGCCCGAAGTGATGCAGATCTCAGACGTTTACCACTTCGGTGAAACCCACGAGCACGGGTATGGTGCTGACAAACCTAGAAACATAATCGGGTGAACCGGGATTCAAACCCACAATCATAGGTTTCTGGCGTGCCCAAGGGACGCAACTCTGCACAGTGAATAGAGACGCCTCAGACAACTGGGCCACCTGTGTCCCCAGGCTTGATTGGATACTGGCAGGTTGTTAGAAAGCATCCTGTCTTTGATGTAATTTCATCAATCGCTGTGAGGGTTGAAAGTTTGGCAAGTGTGGGTGTGCGGACATTATTTTTTTATTTTGAACTGTTCGAGTCATGTGGGTAATTATTGCTTAATTTGGATACTTCCAAATGAGTTCGAGACAACCAGGAATTCGACACATCCAGTTCAACAGATCCTAGTATAAATGATGATAACATTAATATAGAAGGAACCGGAAGGTGTGTTCAAGACAACTGGGAATTCAACACATCCAAGTTAGACACAACAAGGTTTGACTGCATTTCATATCAAAAGACACGAGGGTGAGATTCTACATATATGTATCATCCTTTCAACTTTTCAGTTTGTAAACAGTAATAACCGGCATCTTGAGTGTAAAAAGTACAGCTAACCAGCTTCTGTTGCAGAGAGATTAATGATGTCATTTTAGTGTGACATCATAATGGTCAGCAAAGCATTGCGTTCATCGTAGCATGAAGTGAAACTTTTTCAATCATATTCTTGGCAATCATATACCCTTTCACACTGCTGTTTTCTATAAAATTTGTAAGATACACAAATAAATACAGTACACTTTCATTCATAGAAAGTAATCACATAAAAATGATTTACAGACTGGTCTAGAGGTTGGAGCTGAATGTTAATTCGATAAATAACAGTATCTCTACTTACAGCCCCCTCTTACTGGTACCCAGGAACTTGCGGGAGGCATACAGTGGTTGATGGGTAGCATCCACAGCCCAGTAGAGAAGGAAGGGTTGGTCTGCTGCTGCCTGCTTCTCTATAAACTCTATTGCCTCCTGTATGGAGAGTGAATGTGGGAATGAGTGAGTTGGTTTTTATGACACTTCGGGATGTATTTCTGCTATTTCCTGGTGTGTCAGCTTAATGTTGAAGGAAAGCCCAAAGTGATGCAGGTTCTAGATATATACCACTTTGGTGAAACCCATGAGCACGGGTAAATTGAGCACAGGTAATCTGACCACGGGTAAACTAAGCACAGGTAATCTGACCACGGGTAAACTAAGCACAGGTAATCTGACCTTGGGTAAACTGACCATGGGTAAAGTGACCAAGTGCTGACAAACCATGAATCATGATCACGGTAAATCTGGGATTCCAGCCAATGATTATTGGATTCTGACATAACTAAGGGACGCAACTCTGCACAGCAAACTGATACAGCCTTGCTCCCGTCAGATATACAACATATATGTTTTAAATTTCATCTGTTCACTAGGATTGTGATATCATCTGTGTTTTTGGTACAATTTTTTCTATTTGTTAGTTAATGACCAAAACAGATGACATAATTGACGATTTGAATAGGTCAACTGAATTAATTTTTCCTTGGACACACATTACTGGTGACAGTCACAGTCATTTCAATACATTTGTTACGAATACTGAAGGAAAACAGGATATCACTTTACATGTATGACATGATGTTGGAGCGGTGGGGTAGCTAGGTGGTTAAAGCGTTTGCTCGACATACCAAAGACCCAGGTTCACTTCCCACATGGTACAATGTGTGAAGCCCATTTCTGGCGTTCCCCGCTGTGATATTGCTGGAATATTGCTAAAAGCGGCGTAAAACCTTACTCGCTCTAAGACCATGGCTCCATTCCACAAAGCGATCTTAGCACTAAGTCAATAGTAACTCCCATTCTTACACTGACTTAGACAGTCGAAGTGAAAGATTGCTTTGTGGAAAGGGGCCTGCAGGTGAGATTGCGACAAATGCTATATCTTACACTGATATAAATCTGTGTGAGGTTTGACTCGCCGGACTTCTCGATCTTGAATTCCTCGTAGTATCTGCAACAGAAACAGGAACATGAGCACACCTCACACACAAACAGGGGCATAACAGGGACAGAGACTGACTCAACAATACCAAAGTCCAATGTTGAAGGTATCCCAGTTGCCTGGAGAATTTCAGGTTAGGGGTATAGGAGCATCCTAATGAAACATTTTAGGTCTGTTTCCACTGACAGTGATGAAAGCAAGCATGTGGCAACAACTTAAGTTGAAAAAAAAAGAAAAAAATGTTATTTATGGCACTGCAATTCTCTGTGCAGAGTTACGTCCCTTATACTTGCCAGGACCCACTGATTTTGTCTTTGACTCCCAGATAGGTTATGATTATGGTTCCTGGTCAACAACCTGTTGACTCAAAGCAACTGAAGTAAGTTAGATTAAAGCCACAGTATTTCAGTAATATCATGGCATGGCAGCTTAATCAGTAAGGAAAGTGAGATAGGTATTATTATTATCTTCCAATTGCAGTGCCAGTGCCCAGTAGGCCACCGTGTCCCCTTGAAGTTTCCCACTGTTTACATCTCACCTGCCGACCATGTCTGCATCCTTGTAGACGGGGATGTTGGGGGTTTTCTTGTCATCAAAGGGGCCAAAGTGGCAGTTGGGGGCACCAAACCACTCATTGAATCCATGCTTCAGGGGGTGGTAGCGAGGCTGCTGACCTAGATGCCTGAGAAAAATATGTTGTCAAAATGAATTTCAGCATCCTGGTAAAATATGTCATCTTCACAGATCTATTTCAGTTGAACACACTACAGGATCAGTACAATACGGAAAAATAGTAGGGTTAAAATAGTTGAATTGCAACCTACTACTCAGAAAATGTATTTAAATAGATACTGTAAAACGTGAAATTAATATGTCTCCAAAAGAATGCGACCGCTGGCCCTTAGCCAAAAATGCGACTCAATGTGAATGCGACACCCCCTCCTCTCAAGCATCAATGGATTTATATCTAAACAAAATGTCCTGTCAGGTTTACAGGAGAATCTTCACCTTAATCCAACCTTACATTAATCCAATCACACACCAAAGAGCACCGCTTATTAGCGCTGAGTAGAGTACTTCAGCTAAAACAATACGTGCGCGTTGGCTCGTGTCGGCCTTTGATGCAGTCGCAAAGAACAAAGACACCATGTTGGGTGGCGTCTGTCTGGACTTGCAGGTGTGATCAGTGATGACATGAGTGAGTAGAACGCTTGTCTTGACCCCAGCAGTGACAATTCACAGGATGTCATTAGTGTTTGAATGACACTGTTTATATACTTGTTACAAGTGCTGCTCAATAAACATTGATGTGGAACACATAGTTGTTTGTTTTCAGCGTATGTCTAAGTTGGTATTTCTGCTATCCAAAATGTCTCATTGTTGATATAAATGCGGTGTTTAATAATGCGAGCAAAGACCACTCGCATTTTTCTCATTTAATTCACGCTCGCGGTAATTTCACGTTTTACAGTATTCAATTCAAGAAAGTTACAAAATAATGCGTATGCTGATATGGTTTAACATACAGGATTTCATGTTTGAAATACATAACTACTTGTTGTGTGATTCAGGAACTGAACATTAATGCATAATATACATCAGGTAAATGAGAAATACTTGCTAAGCAAGAGTTCCTGTACAACAGCTCTGATGCTGTTAATTCAGATAAGGTGGCAGTTTGACCATTTGTTTGATCACTGTTGGGCGCCAAGGTCCCAGTGACTAATGAGGAGCATGGTCAGAAGGTCTATTCCTACGGACCCCTTTTAGGGCCATTTGGTTTTCTATCATGGAACTGTTCTGGGTGAACAATACCTTCCAAATGACGTGCTGGTTTTCTTGGGGAATTAGTCAGCAAAGAGCCAGAGTCACAGGAGACTAATCACAATTTTATTTACAAGAACAATTAACAATTTACAATATACTTAGATAATAACTGAGGGTGCCACAGAGAGTCGGTACACACTCTGGGCTGTGGGAGAGAGGTCTGCTTGGTAAGAGAGTCAAACCCCTTCCCTTTTTTTTTTAAAATATTTAACAAAAATTTAAACAATAACAAGGAATGTGATTGGTTGATACACGATGGGTTGTGTCCTAAGCTAAATGGATGGCTAGACAGAGGGGAATACTAAATCCTGTTTATCCTGTTGGACTGGCACTAATCTTGTTGACATATTTACTGGATGCTTTGAAAGAGATTAGGGTGTCACTATAGATGAGCTTGTGTGGGGGCTAATCCTTAATGCCCTATAGACGAGCTTGTATGGGGGCTAATCCTTAATGAGTCTTAATTGAAGTAATGTTATTCTAATGTACCCCGGCAGGTTATGACAGATATACTTAAATAAATATCCTTTGTCTGGGAGATGGGATCTTGATACCTTAGGCTAGCAAAGCTTCAAATCAATTAAACTATGTAGACGTAACTCTTGTCTTATTGAATAGTATGTCTAGATGCGCTCCCATTACCTTAGGCTAGCAACCATCTAAAAAGCTTTAACTGAAACTACTGATATTTTATATATGCATTTTACCTAATGATTATTATTACTTGCTTAACTATAATTTTATGAAATGATGTATAAATATTACGCCATGATAACTCATAAAAGCACTTGATGTAGATCTAATTATTATAAGATAACTTAGTATAAATGTTATCCCATGATAACTTCCCCTCCGTCTGAAAAAGTTTGGACCCCAAACGTGTAAAAAATAAAAATAATTAAGGCTTAGATGGACAATGTATAAAGTTAAACTGGTAGTAGTGAATAATAATTATTATAGAGTCTCTTTGACATAAGGAAACATAATATAAAAATGCTGTCATCAAGGGTTCTGGATGTGGAGCTGGCTTGTCTTGGCACTCTGTACTGGTGGCTTTATGGGTGATGTAGGAGGCCTTGGGTTCCACATCCTGGATTGGGGTTGTAAGGTAGTAGGCTGTGTCCATGGAGGTGTTACATGGAAACAAAGAAAAGAGAGTTAGCATGTTCAAATAATATGTCATATATAAATACTTCCTTAGTTTGTCTGTAATAACTAGAAAATAAAACAAATATGATAATTATGATGTAAAAGATCAGTACATAATTATTACTAAACGGTGTCATGACCAGGAAGAATGTATTGGCGGCAAATTACAAAAGTTTATCATGAGAAAAATAGTAATATCCTTCTACTTTTGGATACAATCATTAGACGCATTATATTTACATATATGTGCATGTGCATATAACAAGTGCATTGATTTGTTACATTAATACGGTATACAAAAGGTGTATATCATTGTTAGTTTTCGTAACTATTTGGTTTGCCTTTTCTTTGTTTTGGTTTATTTCGGTTGTTAAGTTTGCTTTATTTGAATTTGGTTTGTTTTGCTGTGATTTTGCTTCGGTTCAATGCGATAGGGTTTGGTTTATTTTGCTTCGGTACGGTTTGCTTCGCTTCGGTACGGTTTGGGTTTGATTCCCAGTATGGTTTGGTTCGCTTCAGTACGGTTTGGGTTCGATTCGCAGTATGGTTTGGTTTGTGTCATTTCACTTAGCTTCGGTACGGTTTGGGTTCGCTTCCCAGTATGGTTTGGTTCGCTTCGGTACGGTTTGGGTTCGATTCCCAGTATGGTTAGGTTCGCTTCGGTATGGTTTGGGTTCGCTTTTCCCAGTATGGTTTGGTTCGCTTCGGTACGGTTTGGGTTCGATTCCCAGTATGGTTTGGTTCGCTTCGGTATGGTTTGAGTTCGATTCCCAGTATGGTTTGGTTCACTTCGGTACGGTTTGGGTTCGCTTCCCAGTATGGTTTGGTTCGCTTCGGTACGGTTTGGGTTCGATTCCCAGTATGGTTAGGTTCGCTTCGGTACGGTTTGGGTTCGCTTCCCAGTATGGTTTGCTTTGTGTCATTTCACTTCGCTTTTGAGATTGGTTGATCAGGTCAATACTCAAAATTTGTTGTGATACAAATAACTCAGATGATCAGGCTGATGCCATTTGTTCTCAACTGGCGACCCATAGTGAAAAGACTGGACACAAGAAAACATAACAAGATACAGCTAATAGCTGTTTCGTGATTTGCACCGTTTATTCAGGAGATTTTGTATTTTGATCAAGAATATGTGCAATTGGCATTGTTCGGTATGTACGGTAAGGTTATCATAGTATGGTAGATGGGAACTATGGTCTGTGGCTGAAATACGGTAGTAAAAGGTGTTGTTGTTTCCAAAGTCTTTATCTGGAATGACCCTTTTGGATTTATAAATTGGTGGTTCCTCTGGATCATATCGAGGATTATCTTCTATACAGAACCAATTACGGAGATCCTGCCAGCTATCATCAAGGTAGCGCTGTATGAGGTGGGGAGGAACACTTTCAAAATAGCATGTGAATTGACCAGGATATTCTTTGTATGAGACCTTGACATAGCAGTCTCCTTGAATAATTTCAATGCCCATAACTCTTTCTATTTTATGATCTACTTTTCGTAGGTGTTTTGGAAAAAAACGATATGGTTTGACATCTAATTCTATGCATGGTTTGGTGTTGTCTTGCTTGATATTTCCGGACATTGTATTCCCTGACAGAACATTGACTGATTTATTGTCTTGTGCTGATTCCTTTTGGTCGAAAAACTTATGATTCTTCAGTGGACGTTTTCGTCGTTTTCCTGACATACTTCTTTTGAGGTGAAATTCTCTCCGAATGGAGTCTGGAATGCTGCTGCCATACTCCCATGTGTTACCTCTTTCTGGATCCTTCCATTTTACTCTGTAGTAGATTTTGCCATTTGCTCTCTTGGAACTAACAATTGAGTGGATGTCCTCTGGATTGAAGACCTGAGGGATATCCTTGGTTTGATTACCTGATGTTGGACTTGGAGGTTGTACCTGGCTGTCGTCGGGTTGTTTTCTGGATTTGGGCTGATGATGCTTACTATTCACTCCTCTTTTCCCTTTGTTTACCTTTTCATTTACCTTGGTTGGAGCACTAGGACCTGGTGTGGCATGATTTTCCTTCATTGTTGCCGTGGGACTGGTAGGTTTTTCTGTTGTACTTGAAGCAGGGATTTTCTTCTTTGTTGGGGTCTTTTGCTTCGGACTCTTGTTGCTGGAAGTACCTGCCTTTGTTTTGGAATTGACCTTCTTACCTTTCTGTTGTGGAGGTGATTGATCAGTAGCCTTGTAAGTTGAACTTGTTGATGGGGAATTGTTGCTGTCAAACTGAGTATCATTGACTGGTTCCTCGTTGTCATCCATGACTCCTGAATCTATGTCACTGGGGTTATTGAGGTATGGTTCTGGAGGATACTGTGGACGATCAGCAGGATCAAAATATGGCTTCAGACGGTTGGCATGGACCAGTGGTTTGTGTATTTTGTCATCAGAACTTCGGCGTAGTTTGTAGGTATAATTTGGACCTGTATGGGTGATATAATAGCTACCATACCACTTTTTGGTTAATTTGTTGGAAAGGCCTTTTTCAACTTTTTGACAGTAAAGCCAAATCTTTGACCTGGGGCGAATTCTGGTTCTTTAGCCTTTCTGTTATATTGTTCTGAATACACCTCCTTAGCCCGAGCAGTGTTTTCAGCTGCGATTGTTCTAGTGATTTCAAGCTCCTCAAGCAAATTGGAAAGATAACTTTTGTTATTGTGGCCCAAATTTTCTTTTGGAATTAATGCTACATCTTG